CCGATGGCCCCGCCCACTCCCCCACCTGACTCCGCCCACTCCAACCGCCAACTGCCTCTCCTCTCCGTGCCGCGGCCGCCCGAGGTAGGTCCCTCTGACGAGGCCTGTCGCGGCGCCCCTCTGGTGCCCGAGACCCCGGCCGGGCCTTCGGGAACAGCGGGACCCCCTTCCCCGTCAGCCTGTTGGGGGTGGCCGGACCCCTTTGTCGGCCCGTGGTTAGTAGCAGGACCCTCTGTCCTGTCAGAAACAGCGCGACCCCTTCCCTGTCAGCCGCGTCGGCCCGTCGGGGGGCCGGAACCTCCGGTCGGCCCGTCGGGAGCAGCGCGACCCCTTCCCCGTCAGTCCCGTCAGCCCGTCGGGGGGCCGGAACCTCCGGTCGGCCCGTCGGGAGCAGCGCGACCCCTTCCCCGTCAGTCCCGTCAGCCCGTCGGGGGGCCGGAACCTCCGGTCGGCCCGTCGGGAGCAGCGCGACCCCTTCCCCGTCACCCCTGTCGGCCCGTCGGGGGTGGCTGGACCCTGTGGTCGGCCCGTCGGGAACAGCGCGACCCCTTCCCCGTCAGTCCCGTCGGCCCGTCGGGGGTGGCTGGACCCTGTGGTCGGCCCGTCGGGAACAGCGCGACCCCTTCCCCGTCAGTCCCGTCGGCCCGTCGGGGGTGGCTGGACCCTGTGGTCGGCCCGTCGGGAACAGCGCGACCGTGGGGCGGGGTGGGGGCGGCGCCCTTCTCACCTGGCCGCATCCTTGCAGGTGCGCTGCTCTCGCTGATCCCGCAGGGTGCAGGGTGCAGGGTGCAGGGCCATGCCCCGGCCGAGACCCCGTCAGCGGACATGGAAGAGGCCCCCCTGCTCGGAGGAATGTCCAGTCCCGAGGATGAGATCGTGCCAGACCTGTTCAGCGCAGAGAGTCGGTTTGTTTCCGAAAACATTCAGCTGAAAGGCCCGATGGTGGTGAAGGCCGAGGAAGACGAGTTCCACGTGTTTCCGGACGCGTACCTGAGCCCCGCAGACCCCAAAGAGCCCCTCCTGCATGCATTCAACCCCCCGCTGAACGTGGACTGCAAGAATAAAGTCAAAGTCGAGCTCCTGGTGGATGAAAACGAGGAGGAAATCCTCGGGGAGTATCCGAGTCTCCCTGAGCTCAACCCGCTGGAGGACGCCGTCCTTCCCGCTGCCCCTCCGCCACCGCCGCCCGCCTACAACGTGCACTTCCTGTCCTCACTGCTGACTCCGCACAGGAGCCCTGCCGTCGTGCCCCTGGGCACCTGGGCCCGGGAAGGAGCCGCCCACCCCGGGGTCCGGGTGATTCCGGTAAGATCCGCGTGGGATAGGCGCAGGACCGCTTCACCCCTCCCGTGTGGGGATGTGCGGGGGCTGGCTTACCCCAGGATCTCCCTCCACGTGTGGTTTTCCTGTGCCAGGAGCATCCCTGGTTAGATTTCACTCAGTCCAAACAGGCTGCACCCCTTCGTAATCTGAGATCTATCATCCAGCCAGGCCATTCCACCTGGAGGTGACTCATGTCCTTGGGTCCCTGGTTCAAACCTGGCCTACCCCTGCTGGTGGCTTATAACATGAAAGTGATTTAACTGGCCCCATTACTGTCACTGGCTTCAGGAAAGGAGTCCTGTTTTTGTTAGAGTAACCGGTGTCTGTGAAAACAAAAGCAATGTGAGTGCTCACGGTCTTGCATTTACATGACTTGTTACCCCGTCAGAAGAATAATAGCGAGGGAGAGAGACACGAAGGGTGAGCGTGTCCTGTGCTTTAAAAAGGTCACTTACAGGGAATTCTCTGCGTTATGCAGCTGCAGAACCCAGTGTCCACAGTGTGACCTCTAAAGAAATGAGTGATTTTTCAGGTTGAACTCAAGGAAGGTGGTGGCACTATTACCAGTAACAACGCAGAGGAAGCAACTTTCCAGACCCCTCCGGCCCAGGAATCCTCTTGCAAGTTCCCGTCATCACAAGAAGCAGAGGATGCCTCCGGCTGCTCTCACAAGAAGGACAATAACCCAATGGTAATTACGTCAAAGAAAATGTAACCAACATTGCGTTACATGTTTGACCCTTGTCATTACCAAGACAACAGTAATGGTTATTTCAGTCCTTGTTTTTTGTTCTGTTTAATTGGTGAACCAACATTTTTGATCGTCTCATTTATCAAGAGGGACATAATTAGAGCCTTCCTAATATTCTTTCACCTCTAAGATTCTCATTTCTACTCATCTTAGCAAATCAAGAAAAGATTAGGATGTTGCCATGTTTTTTTAAGGACAGTAACCACAGGTCACATCAACTAGCGCAGACCTAGGCCGGCCCAGGGCAGGGCAGCACTGAGCTGTGTGGCTTGGTGGGTGGGCCGGGACGCTGAGGTGTGGCTCTGGCTGAGGGCAGGCGCCACCTCCCTTCTGGCCAGTTTCCAAATTCCCAGCCACCAGCTGGCACTCGGGGCGGTTATGTATGCAGTCAGCAACATCCATGGTTTCCATGATACTTTTGCACGTTTGTGATTCCCTTTAATGCTCTCATCAACTCTGTAGGGTAGGCATTATTTTTATCTTCTTTTTAAGAATAAGAAAACAAAAATGTTACATAGTTTGCTTGCGGGTGGTACACCCAAGGCTCTAGGTCTCAGTAGTGACGACAGAACGACAGCCAGGGGACCCGGCCCTAAGCCTTCTTTTAGCAAAGAGCCCAAAGAACTAAGGTCGCTTTTCCCCGAACAGCTCTTTATTCTGAGAAAGGAGGCCTTAGCTCTATGGCAGGGGTACCCAACCACCTGCCCGTGAACCAGCACCAGTCTATGGCCTGTTAGGAACTGGGCCACACAGCAGGAGGTGAGCTGCAGGTGAGCAAAGCTTCATCCGTATTTGCAGCCACTCCCCAGAGCTAGCATCACTGTCTCAACTCCACCTCAAGTCATCAGGCGTTAGATTCTCACGGGAGTATCAGTCCCTGGTACCAAAAAGGTTGGGGACCGCTGCTCTAAGGCATACACTTTACTGGGAAGTACTTGAAAGCGAGCTCATCACGAACTCTGGCTTAGCTGTGGCGTACACCGGCGCTCACCCTCTGTCTCGGTTCTACTCAGACCCACGTGGTCTGAGAGCAGAGCTCCCAGAGGACACGGGGACAAGGTAAGCAGGACAGGACCTCTTCCAATAATTACACCAGACTCCTGAGTCGTGTCAGCACAGGACGGACAGGGCACAGCCCAGGGCTGTGCAATAGACAGCGCCTGGACAGTCCACTCTGAGCTTTTCTCTCAATTTTTTTTTTCCTCCCAGGACGGGCAGGGCATAGGAAGACTAATGTGGCTTCTTAGAATTTTCTACATCTCGGATTAATCTTTCTAAGTAGGCAATAAAGTGGGTCGGGGCTGGGGGCTATAACTTCATCCTCGAAGACAAATAAAATTCCAGTCACACATGAATTTGCTGGCCTTGTGTCCAGTGTCAGGATGATCTGAAGGTTTGACAGAGTGATGAGCACCTCACTAACGTAGGCCCTATGTGTGTTATTTTGGTCACGTTGATTCTTTATGGTTTTTGGGGTTTTCCTGTCTAGGAAACCCAAAGGTAACCTGTGGGGCAGAAACCAAGGCTTCTGCGGGTCTTACGGTTTTGCCATCGGAATTGGAAGCTGTGTGTGGACAGAAACCACAGCTTCTCTGGCCTTTGTATCACGATGGACAGGCCACACACAGCACGGCTCCCACCCGTGCTCTGCTGCCCGACGTCATCAACATGGCCTCACCTGGCCCCTGAGGGTTCATCCACAGCCAGAATCCAGCTAGGTGATCTGAGAGTGCTAGCCGGGCCCAGGAAGACTAATGTGGCTTCTTAGAATTTTCTAGGTCTCGGATTAATCTTTCTAAGTAGGCAATAAAGTGAATGAATACCAAAAATCCTATGTTAAATAACATGTATGCGGCAGGAAAGAACAGCTGTCATAAAATTAAAGGTTATTCTAAGTACGTGACCAGCTACTGACATGGAGTCAGGGGGCCAGGTCCTTCTTAGAGTTGAGTGACCCAAAGGGGACCGGGGCCGGGCCGACCAGGTCTCTGCCCGCACAGACTGTGGAATGTGAGGACGGCGAGGGAAGCACTCGCGTAGACACCTGGTCCTTACCATAAACCTCGACGGTCAGACACCTGTAGGGAAGGGCGTGACGGGAGCCTCTGTCAGCACGCTGACACACCTCTCCCGTGCTCCCCACCAGAAGGCATGCCATTGGAGAGTAGGAAACCAAGAATGGATCGACAGCTTGCCATTTTCCATTAAAACTTAAATTCTGGATTAAAGCTATGTTCTCAGATTAAAGTTTATTTTGGATGTCTTTTAAAAATGAAACCTGATCACTACTTTTTCATTTTAGGTGATATGTCAGCTGAAAGGGGGTACGCAGATGCTGTGTATCGACAATTCTGGCACAAGAGAACTGAAAGCACTTCATCTGGTTCCTCAGTATCAAGACCAAAATAACTATCTACAGTCAGGTACGAAGTATATTAATTTTAAAAATTATATCATATATGTAAGTTGGTAAGTGAATATGTTTGGCTTTGTATATAGAGTAAAATGAAATAGGCAGGGTATTAAATAGACAATTGAGAAAACTTCACAGCCTTAGTAAGCTAAGAATAGAAAATATCTTTATAGACTAATTTATGTACATCCCATTGACTATCTCAAATTCCTGGAAATTCTACTTCTGCTAGCCATAGGGAGCTTTATGATCCTAACAGGTGACAATTCATACCAACAAGTGGTGTGCCTAGAGATGCCTGGGTTAAGATACCAACCTTTCCCAGATTGGGTGGGGGGTTGACTGTTCATTATGGTATGAACTAAATTTTAATATAAATTTTTGTGTAATCATGAGAATTGTCACTCTGCTTTAATCACCATAAGTTCTGAAATAACTAGATCAGATACGGATTTATCTGACATTCATTTACTCAGAAACTTTTTTAAACTGGACTAATAGTCATAAATGACATCTAAGTACCTGAGTATCCTGAAATGCCCTATGAATGATTAAAGAAAGATTAAACGGCATAGTTTTAAGATTATGTTTACGGACATCACACACTAAGATTATGTTTACGGACATCACACACTAGGTTAACCAGACTATTTCATTATGAGATGATTCACTGACCTTGCCCATAATTTAAAACAGCATTAAATCCAGATGTCATTTCAATGGACCTTTGGAGTCCAGGGCAAAAAGAATGATTACGACTTCTATTGTGTCTTCATAGTCTCTTTGTCCAGGGACACATAAAGTGCCTTCCAGACATTTCTCTTTCTTAGGATGCAGAAGCAGTGTGAGGCATCGGCCACAGGCCAGCTGTGGACCTTCTGGTCCCCTGTGGGTCAGAGCTGAGCCTGGGCCCCCATTCAGGTTGGGGAGAGTTTTCCTAATTCCGGTGCGTGGCAAATGCGAATGCCTTTGGATCTACGGAAGGGGAGGGTTTATATGGTGCTCTCCAAATCCGCATCCTTGTCATATAACCAGAACTCCCCTGCCCAGCGCCCTTTGTTATGCTGTGAGCAGACTAAACATCGCCATAAAGTGAATGCATCCTGTTACCAGAGTCTCAAGCTAGCATCACTCAAAGGATTCATGAGCCCAGAGCAGGACTTGTGCTCAGCGGGCGGTGCTTCAGGGGGCTAACACACATCTCTCTCCAGTTGGACTCATGAACATGGAAGTTCAGGGGCCCTTAGTGTCATGGGAATGTTTTCCACTGCACCCTTAGGCCAAAGGAATACCTATCAGTTTCAGTCACTGAGTAGTTTGGTCCAAGCAGCCTAATAAGTACTCACATTCTAAGAACTTAGCATCCATTTGAAAGAAAGAACACACATAAAGTGAAGGTAGTTCACCAGTTGTCCAACAGGTGTCACTGTGCTCTCTGTGAAACCGTAACCCATCCAGCAGCTCCCTGGGGAGTTAGCTGCATCACTCCAGGCACCTTGGCACACAGTTTGGGGACCTGTAGCATAGTAGAGTATCTTTGGAAGCTCAGGTTAGTAACTTTATGACAAAGAAAAGGGTATAATAAGTTTTAAAAAAATTGACCCAAAGGTTTTATAAAATAAAAAATAAGTTTAAAAATGAAAAATTTAAAAAATAAAAGACAAGTTTAAATGGCTTTGCACATGATAAATTTATGATACATTTTCATTTTTGTACTTCTTCCATGTGCAATTGGAAAAGGAACAATATACGATATCCATTAATTTTGTCTTTTTTACAGATGTCCCTAAACCAATGACTACTTTAGTAGGAAGATTTTTGCCAGTACCAGCAAAATTAAATCTCATTACACAACAAGTGAGTAATTGTTTTACTTAAAAAATACAATTGGATATTATCGTCTTTTGAAATTTCTATTGTCAGAGTTGGAATAATTTATACTCCATTTAAAAATCAACGGTGAAACATTACCAGGTATTCAGCACTGTCCCTGCTGTGTCAGACGCTGTGGGAGGAACGGCGTAAGCATAAGACAGGGCTCTTCACCAACTCTGCGACAGTCCTGTGCCTTCCTACGGCCTGCAGACCCTTGTTCTGTCCCATTTGCTGAACGTGTCCTTTGTGGTCTTGCTGTCAGCCCATGCCACCCACTTGATCTACTGTCCCTACCTTCCTCAGCGTCAGAAATGCTTTTTTAAAGTATAAGATGGTTTTATGATTACACTCTAGTATGCATATATTAAATATAATTATGAGACGAACGTGCTCTTTCCCCTAAGTCTTGATGTAAAACGTCACCTCCCTAGAAGAGCCTTCCATAACTCCCCAGTGAGTCTAAGCCGGGCCTAGTGTAGGCAGTCACTGTCACCAAACCTGTCTCGTTCTCTGCCCAGCGCCATCGCCGTTGTCTGTGTTTTGGGTCGATTTGTTTGCATGCGTCCAGCCGGGAAGGCGAGCTCCCCAGGGTCAAAAGGCTGTGAGTGTCATTTGTCTCTGTAAGCTGGGGGCCAGGACAGAGCCTGGCACATACAGGGCCTCACTCCCCCTTCAGCAGGGCAGGTGCTGGTCCGAACACTCAAGTTCCATCAGCGAGATAACACTGAGTGAACCCCCAAACCCAAACCAAACACGTGACTTCTGCAGCTTACATTTCAGTGTGGGAGACAGACAGCAGGCACACCTAGTCCGTTATGTCATGAGCTAGGAGCGGAGGATGGGCACCGCCCTGGGGATTTGGTGGGGAGGAGGGTGGGTTACAGGTGTAAACAGGGCGGTCGCAGATGACTCCATCCGGAAGGTGATACTTGAGCGAAGTCTGGAAAGAGAGGAGGGAGGGGCCGTGTGACTATCAGGGGGAAGAAGATTCCCGTGGGGGGATAGCACGGCACGGGGGGCACACCTGCTATGGAAACGACCGTGAGAAGGCCATGGGGCCTGCGCGGAGTGGGCGGGGGCGGTGTAGCGAGAAGTCGAGGTGGTGGAGGACTGTGGCTTTTACTCCTCCGGAAAGGGGGCTCGTGTGGAGGAGGGGCGAGGTGAAAGTGGGTAAACCTGCTCTCGTAACAACCTCGCTGAGGGACGGTGGTGGCCCTGACCACTGGTGGCAGCAGGAGCGGTGAGAAACAGCTCGTCCGGATTCTGTGGAGGTTGCACCAAAAGGGTTTGCCAATCGGCTGGATGTGGGATGTGAGAGAGAAAGAGGAGTCAAGGGTGGCCCCCGAAATAGCCTGAACAGACGGGAGGACGGGGCGTCCAAGAGACAGAAGACAGTGCGCGTTTTGTGAGGGAGACTAAGAGCGTTGCATTCGGGCTATTAGCTCCGAGATGCCTGTCAGACATCCAGGTGGCGATGTCGCGTGTCACGTAGGCCCGGAGTTCAGGTGGGGTGCTCAGGGCTGGGCAGCTGAGCCCTCGCACACTGACACATTGAAAGCTTGGGACTAGAGGGGGTCTCTTGGCGGGGGCTGTGAGGAGGAGACGTATTCGCTGAGTCAGTAAAGAAATATTCCTCAGGGGCTACGTTAGCTGGGAGGGGAGAATTGCAGTCAGTGAGGGACACGAGCGAGTCTCAGCCGGGCCCTGTGAGCGCTGGCCCCACGGCCGGCTCGGACTGCCCGCGCGCGTCCCCCCGGCCGCCTCCAGCCACCGCTCCTGTCCCTTGCCATCCAGCCCCACTCAGAAGGGCCCGTGGTGGCCCTGCTCTTCCGCCTTCAGGTTCCCGTACTACAAATGAATGCCCCCTTGGCTGCGTTTATCCTTGTCCCCATTTTGGCTCCCCTGACTTCTTATCTAGCGTGGCCCTTGGGGCAATTACTCAAGCAGTGCCTTTGCTGCGTCAACCCCAGGACCCTGCTTCCTTGCCAAACCCCAGTCCGCTAGAGGCGTGGTGCAGGGACCAGCAGCGCCGGCTTCCCAGGGGCTAGTCAGGAACGAGGGTCTCAGCTGCCCCGACTCACTGACGCAGGACCTGCATTTTAGGGAGGTGCGGGGCGAAGTGACCGAGGGCCTGGCCTGCCTTAAGGTTCACTTCCTTTACACCCTGGTGGCCTTGCACCACTGAGGAAAGCCCGGATCTTAGCGTAAAACTGGCCGATGTAGGGCTGAGAAGACATCTTTTTCTTTCTGCTTTGCTTTGGGGCTAAAGACACAAAGGGGAAACGGAAATTGTACCTAGTTTATGCAGAGAATTGCCTCCACCCTGAGAACTGCGAAGCCCTTTCTCCCAAAGGATCAAAGCCCTTTGGACTGCCACTTGGGGACATGCCCTTCCAAGTAGGTGACCGTGGCTGTACAAGAAACACTGGTTTGTGAACAGTGATCTGTGAACGCTTCCCTCCTGTGAACTGGCTGAGGGAGAGAAGCCAAGGCTGAGGCCCCACACGGCCCAGGGCTTGTGTCCACGAGCCCTGTGGGCAGTGGTCACACACAATTCAAAAAGAGGCAGGACAGAGAATGAGGAAAGTGAACAAAGATGCGTTTTTCTCAGACTATACTTCTTAAATAAAGCTATTCTTAAATTCCTAGTTTTCAGGGAGGAAGGGATAAGGACAGGATATTTAAATGTGATGTATATAAATAATCGTAAAATTTAAATTTATCTGATACTTTTAATTTCCTCAAGCTTCTGATAAGAAAATTAGGTCAGCGGTGATTGCTCCCCTTTCTTTCCCCGTGAATACTGTCTGTGAGCCACGAGACTGAGTAACAGAAAGAAAAACAAATGAGAACCGAGAAAGCGAAGGACATGGACAATGCAGAGATTATGACTTTGCTTTTGAACTTGTTAAAATTGACTACAAAATATTTTTTGAATAGATGAAAAAGTAATGATTGCTAATGAGACTTGAAATGTCAAGCTCTCTTATGTTATACTATGAGTATAATAATAAAGGACATTTTGAGTTCATAGAAATTTATAATTGAACTTATTTCACAATTTGTACTTCATAAAAATGAAAAAGATGCCTATTACAATGTCCCCGGCCAGCCGACTGACAACTGCTGCTGCTTGCCAGCTCGTCGGTGGCCTTGCCCTGCGTCCGTGACCCATTTGTCGCTCTGTCCTGCAGTCAGGGCTTTTTGGCCTCCGCACCCTGGGGCCAGGTTGGTCTGTGACACCACCAGGGCCAGACGTACCCACGGCTGCTGCCCAGCCTCAGCTGAATCCTGCTCAGGGTTAGTGCAATCACCATGGTAACATGGCCCAGACATTGCTATAAAGCGATCGTGATGGAAAGCTCTAGAAGAAAAAGTATTTTTGTCGGTACCTAGGGGCCGACTGGATGGAACTTTTAGAACATGTACTGATTCAAACTCTGCTTGCCTTGACTCTCACAGCTGGACACCGGGGCCTTACCACCCACGGTCGGTGCATCTGCCTTCCCCTCCGGACCCACCCTTCCGGGACCGCCCAAAATGACATTGGCTGGGTAAGGATTAAAGCCATCAGCTGTCGCCTACTTTGAGTTTAAGAGGCTCTTGGGTACGTTCGTGATTTACTTCTGTGTTATAAGCTGACCTTGCCGGCACTCATGGCTTCAAAGGTTTTTTGCGTGAGGCGGCACCATGAGCCGCGTTGCCGTGCGGTTGGCGGGCTGTCGGGGCGAAGGCTTCGCTGCCCGCTGTCCGCCATCCGTGTCTAGCAGCTCGCTGCCGTTCACAGCCCTGTCTTGGCTCCCCATTGGTTGGCAAGAGCTGTCTTGTTTTTCTTTTCCTGCCATCGGCGTAAGTAACGGTGTGGCAGTCACTTCACATCGGTGGTCTCCGTGCACCTTCCCCGGGCAACCGCTCGTGCTTGGTGGCAGGTGCCGGAGGAGGCTCGCGTCTCCAGGTGGATGTGGGCTGCACCTACTCCCTGCGGCCTTGTCTTGCGGTTGACAATGGTGTCTGTGATGATAACTAACTGCACTAACAAGCTGGCCGTGCGATAACCAGACGCTGATGCTGGGCGGGCGGCCCTCTCCGCTCGCCGAACCCATGTGTCGGTCCTGGAGGTCGCTCCGTTCCCGCCGCCAAGAGATGTTTGGTGCTAGGTCTGATGCCGCCGGACATCCCCAGGCCTGGGAGATGGCAGGTCAGGTGATTTCCACGCTGAGGTTGCGGCCTCTGGAGCTTTCCAGGCCCTGCCGTGTCGCTGTGGGTGTGAGGAAGCCACGCGAGCCACTGGAAGCCTTTCGGAGGCTGCAGTGCGACCGATGCTTCACCTCCCCGTTGTCCTGGCAGAGCGTCGGTAGCTCGCGTGATTTGCTGCTTCCGTTTTAGCAGTTGCTCCTTGGCTGGCTGTGACACTGTCCCACATCAGTTGCCAACTTTCACTTAATTTACTGGAATGAGACCGTGTGGAGCCGTTCTCCTTGCTTTGCTCTCAGGGTGATGGGTCAGTGAGGATGTGGTGGCTGTTATCGTAACTGGCCCTGTCACCATGGTCCTTCACATCTCTGGACAAAACAAAACTACGTAAGCGACTTCCAGATTCTGCTGGTAGCATCGCGGGCTCGGTCACACAGAGTGACGAGATGCTATAGTCCCAAAGCTTCTCACTCCTCTCTCTCGTGATCGGGAGCATCTGGTGACAGTGTTGGGTCATTCTGTGCTTTCGTGCACACCCGAGGGAGCTGGCACCCCTGCAGCTTTCCTTCACGCATGTGCTCTCCCCGCCACAGTGTGTCCAGGAGGTGCCGATGGACGGGCCCGTGGGGAGCCTAACGTGGCAGCAGCCACTGCCCCTCCCTCCTCTCCAGCCTGGTTTCCTCAATCAGTCACCTACTTTTCTGTATTTCAAAGTAATTATGCAGGTCATAAAAGGTTTTTCTATTGTAAATGATGTGCCAGGAACGACATGAGCTTTGTCTTTCTATTATTTCACTGCAAATAATTACCCGATTTGATGTCATTTCATGTCACTGCACTGAATCCGCCCTGATTGCTTCTGTATCAACACCCCCAGTACTATGGTCTACGGGAATTCCTGCCTGCTTTTTGTTTGTGGCAAGGGAGCAATCCAGGACTGTCTCACTCTGCTGGTTCCTGGCCTCCACTCGTCAGCTGTGCCTCTCTGCCCCTTTACACATCCGCAGGATCATAAGGTCAAGCTAGGTGTGAAGACATCAGGAAGGGACTCTGTCAGCACAATGTGGTTCAAACGTTTCTAACCCAGTAGATGACATAGAAGCAGGTCAGCTTGGGCCTTGTGACCACCAGTCCACAGGGGCAAACTCACCCAGTCATCGTTCTTCAGAGCTGGGTGGTGAACTGGCTAACTTATTAACTAGCTTATCATATTAATAAAAGTCCACGTCCTGTCACTCTGTATAGCTTTAATAATCTCATAATCAGGTGGTATGTGAATTCCGATGCATTGTTGGTGATGTTATCTTTGGTAACGTAAGATTATAAAGACTATTAAAGATCTGCTTCTCTGGAAATTTTTTTCTGAAAGATAAGGTCGTAGGTCATTGTGGAACAGTATTCATGATGCTTATCCAAGGCAGAGCTGTGTGGTTCTTTTCTAAGTCTACAGTTTTCAGATCGGCATAAGAGGGCGGTCAAATGTTATGACAGCCGTGGAAGGTTTTTTTCAGTTTAGTTTCCTTTACGATCAACTTGTCCCCTATGGTCCCCTCATGTATTCTACTCGTTTCAAATGTGGTGTCTTTGTTCGTGCTCTTATTTCAACTGAAACGTCCTTTTGACCAATAATGAAAAAAACTTCACAACTTAAAAGTGATGTCAAGTTTTCCCTCCTTCAGAAGTATTTGGTTTTAACTTCTTCCATCTGTATTAAATTCTCTGGTCTCTGAATTTTATACCATTTACAGTCAATATCAAGCAATTTGACAGTTGATTATATAATATCTTCTGTTCTCTAATTTTTCGATTGTAGAGATCTCATGTCCCAAATTATTTGGTGGATTCCTCCAGGACAGGCACTGTAAATTTTAAAATTGTATATTATTGGTGTTCCCTGAAGCACTTATCACAGTCCTGGCCACGTGATACCCCCTAATAAATGCCTGTTGGCATCTTCCTGACACTGTGGTTACTCACTGAACTACACTCTCTCCTTCCACAATTGTGATGGGTCACCACTGAGATGTCTCCATGTACTCCCACCCCATTTTTTAAGGGCATTTTGGTTCCTCTGGACAGGGAGTGCCAGGCCGCCTTGTGTGCCTTTTCAGGGGCAGGTCTGAGAGGGCCAAAGGCAAGAGCAGAGAGCGGGTGTCAACACCCCCTCCTCCGAACAACTCAAGTGTGATCCAAGGCAGATGGGCCCAGGGCCATCTAGCCAGAGCTGCCAACTCTGGGTACCCATGAGGGCAGAAAGCTGCAACTCCCCTATCTATAAAGGGAAAAACTAAATTAGATGAATAATTAATATAGTGTTCGATGACATAGTTTGGAGACATTATCTTAAAAATCAGAGCCGTCTGCAGAAGACACAACAATTAGCAGCTGTACACGAGTCAGGCACCGGTAGCTGTCTTGGATGGGCGGGGTGGGGGGTGCGGAGCGTCACCGAACAGAAACGTAGATGGTGAACGGCGGCGGCCGGTCCATGAGTCCAGCACGTCAGCTGAGGCGGCCAGTCCTGACTCGATATGGCTGAGTGTGCGAGGGCAGAGCCCACAGCAGAGGGGTCCACCCCACACCCGCTCTCAGGGGGCTTGTGCTAGCCACAACCCCGGGGCGAGTGGTCGGGAGCACCCCTGTGCTCTGTGCGGCGGCGGAGGCCAGGTGCTGCTGTAGTCCCTACGGGAACCTGAGGCTGAGCGGTGCCCCATCCGGGAGCCTGCATGCAACCTCCGGGCACGAGGCAGCCGCACAGCAGGGAGAGGGAGAGCCCTACCCCTTACCGGGCTGCTGTGTCTGCATGTGCCCCCCCGCCCCCCACTCGCATTCTGAGCTCCTTGGGGAGCAGCGCTGCTGAGTCATGCTGGGGAACATGCCCCGATTTCTAAGCCATCGCTGCCCCTCACTGTCAGCGGCATCCGGGACACACTTGCCTGTCCTCTCCAATGCCCCTGGAGCTGGCTTCCAGTCTCCTTTCCTAAAGAACAGTGAGGAGGGAGGTCCCCACGGTCATGCGGCACCCTCAAAGTGAGCTCGGACACAGTCGTTGATAACGCAGTGCAGACAGCTCGGACACCAGTACAAACGTGCGGTGGTGTAACCGCTGTTCTTGAATTTGTACTCTGCAGTGGTGTTCAGATTTTAGAAAATATAAAAATAACAAGACCTATTTGGTGTGGGGGGGCGGGGGCCGCACACAACAGAGGTGTAAGCAGACCAGGGGAAGAAGCTCTGGGAAGGCTCCCAGGGAAGGACCAGCAGTAAGGCGCCCTCCGCCCCGCAGTTGGGTCTCTGGGCGGGTAGGCTGGGGCTGGCCAGGTGGTTCCAACCCGCCACGAACACGCATGCCACCCCATTTCATGATCAGGCACTCAGAAATAATACCTAGAACTGCCTGGTGCCTGGTGTGGAGATTTTCAGTAATTGTTCAAAAACGCCAGATGCTTAGCTAATTCTCTTTTTAAAAAGAGTAACAATCTGAATACATTTTCTTTTTTAATCTTTGTAGAGTAACTCTTAGTTCATGGGACACAAAGTCTAAAAAGCCATGTAACTGTACCAAATCCCAGTGTCTGAAATTGTAAGTAATCGCAAATCCTTCATTATTAAATAGAAATAAGGTTGTTTAGAGTCAGTGAGTGGAGCAGAGCCCAGACAAACCCGAACGGCTAGCAGCGCGCATGCTCCAGGTGGGACTTGGCAGCCGCGGCCGAGTCCCCGTCCTGAGCCTGCGCCTGCGCCGCAGCAGCCACCCTCCACATAAACCCACCCAGGTGTTTGGTATTTTCTGGACCAATGAACACAGGAAAGGACACTGTCTGCACCTCAAGTGGTGTCATTTTCTGGGGCTCGGTTTATATCCTCTGGCCCGTCAGACAAGTGCTGAACCACGGCATCCTCGTTGACCGTTAACTGCAGCATTTTCCACTTCCTAGTTGTTAAAAGTTTGATGAGTTGAGTTACGCTGTATTGAGCTCCCAGGAGGTCGGGGGGTGGTAGGGCACATTGAGAAGCAGCATCGTGGGCCCAGGTGGACAGAAGGGCTAAATAGGAGGCCGACCGAATCGCCATAATTGAACTTGAGCTTCGTTTCCCACCCCACCAGTGCAGCCTCTGTTTCTCGTGTTGTCCAACCTGCCCTTGGCTCCTGCTAATGGCCGCTCGTTTTCTGCCTTGCGTGCCCACCTAGCTTTGAGTTCATGTTGGAGGGGAGAGCATGTCCTTGCCCCAAAGTCTAACAGCCCTAACCACAATGTCCACATGATTTTCCATTGCAGAGCCCTGCCGAAGTCACTGAGAGCTCCATGGACAGTGACGTGGGGGTGCGGAAGTGGGTAAAAATCCAGAAGGCCGTGAA